GTGGCCTTTATACCTGTCGCTTATACACATCTAGATGTGTATAAGAGACATTATTTATGGTAATAATATGTATACTAAGCCTGAAGGTGGCGCTTTCCTACGGCAGCCATCTTGGATGGTACACATACACAACTCTGCATTGCTCCGCCATCTTGTCAGCACTCTAGTTGTTTAATAACTCTATGGAGAAAAAGTAATCAGTTTTGGAAGAGGGCGTCCTATCTGTTGCCATGGATCTGAGATGGTTCCTGTTCTGCTGTTCACAGGATGAACCCTAAAGGAAAAGTCGCGCGCTGTACGGTATAGGCCATGGGGTGAAAATCCTAACGTTCAGTCCCGTTCCGAAATTTTCCTAATACCTTCACTCATTATGATAATTATTATAATAATATTTAAAAGCACCAAAAAAAAGTTCGACCGTCAGAACTTCTGCAAATACGAGAAAATGACGTTTAAACTTACAAAATTGAAAGTTCTTTGCGCTAGATTAGCACACGACATTTTGTAACGTCACTGTACTCGTTCGAATATTGTATTTTTGATACGTAGTTTATTATTTGCGAACTTCGTATTACTGCTTTAAAAACAAATTTAAAAATTATAATTAGATATAATTTGTATTTTAATTACAGAATATTTTTTAGACTACTATTAAATTGTTTTTGTTACAATAACTTCACGTGTTGTGGTACAGCCAACAACAGTAAACAACAACATGGCGACTAGCGGCGGAGAGTGTGCCGGTGTTGTAATAAAGTGTTGTTTTCACCGCGAAGAAATTGCTAATGAAACTCCAATTCTAGTTACAGCAACCAGATTCTTGAAGATTGTTACTTGTAACAAATTATGGATAGTTTTAGACAGTCATAACCGAACTATAGCTGACAAACTTGTGTCTTAACTAGTAGGCACTTTAGGCTATTATATTTGATGTGATATGGCTACATCTAAATATATCAGGATGATAAAGCACTCTCTCAGAAACACAAAACCGTTTAAAAAACTTCAATCGCACTTTTCGTTCCAGAGATATCGCTGTTTTTCTATGTCCAACTTGTACTAGTTAAGAGAACAAATGTCAAAGGTCAATCCTTTTATTTTCTTTGTTTTAGTGATGGCACCATAAAAATCACAGGTTTCAACACATTTTAACTTCTAACTTCAAAAGTATTTATTGTACACTCTTCAAATTTTCAGGATATACCATGAACATAATCAGCTATCAATGTATATAAAAAATTTGCATATTATATATTTTAACTACATAATTTGCATATTAATTATAAGAAAAATGTTGAATATCGGCATATTTTAAACGTTTTCTATGACATATTTGCAGCTATTACTGAACAAAATAACTTTGTATATACTTGAATGTTCAATTACACATAAACATTAATCTGAAAACAAATATTAATTAACATAATAATGATCAAATTTGCATATTAGCAAAAATAAGAATCTTCCCCAAATCAAATTACTTGTCATGATAAACTTCAGACTAAAATACTTGCAAATACAATCATAAGTTTATAAAGACATTCATTGATATTTATACTGAATTTTTGCATACACCACTAATGTCCTAATTTGCATATTAATTAAGGAAAAAATATTCAATACTAGCATTTTACTATTTTTTACAATTATTTTTGGAGCTGTAACTGAACAAAATACTTTGTACAGTATGTACTTGAAACTTTGAATGCATGGGTTACACATGAACATTATTCTGAAAACAAATTAATTAACATATTAACGATCAAATTTGCATATTAGCAAAAATAACTATTTTTTCTCAAATCTAATTACTGGTCATGTGACTCAGCACCATTCTGAATATGAATTTGACTGAATGACCTTTTTGAATTTTGAATATTGAATTTGAATTGTTATAATATCTGATTGCAATGAAGAAATTTGAATTGTACTGTCATGATAAAATTCCAGAATACTCATACAATTGAAAGTTTATGAAGACATTGTCCTTTATACTGAATGTGCATACATAATACTAATACAGTAATATTGACATCACTAATGACCTAATTTGGATGTTACCAAAAATAGTATAGTACAAGATTTGTACTTTATATTTTATCTACAATTATCAAATCATTGTGTTTTAAGTCTATCAACAAAGGAAATACTTCTTCAGAACTTTCGAGCTGAACTGCATCAGAAGCTGGACTTGCAGAACTGGCAGAAGTACTTGCTCATTCAAGACTTAGGGCCTACAACTAAGTTAACTGATGCTTCGTCGGATACATCATCAGCAGCGGACTCCATTATACGACAACCTTTAAAGAGAGATATAACAACAGTTTTCACTATTAAAAATGAAATTGAATAAAAATATTTAATATATTTGATTTGTTTACGTTTGCCATTATTATTATTACAGTTATATTTTGTACTTTTTTGAAAAAAAAAATTATAAAATAAAAATTATTTTCTTCAACTGTAATAAACACTTCTACAAGAATGTCAAACTTCAGCAAGAACAAGAAAAATATTCACATGTACGGTACATACATATAATTAATAAGCTAGGCCTAGGCATACACAATTAATTAATTGAAATATAGTTGTAAGATTTTATATAATCTTAGATGCTAATTAGCATATGTAAATAGCGCCACCATTGTCTATGATGCCATTGGTGCATCGTTGGTGAATCACAGCAAGCCAAGGAAGCAGCAAGTGCAAACATGTGTTCTGAGCTGTCCAGAAAATATGTATAATTTTCTGTTTAATGCTGGTTTAAGAAAGTCTACTTAAGGTGAAATGATAATGTAAGTCTATAGATTGTTACTGTATTCTTCATTTATTGATGACAATGATGTTTAGGCTTAATTATGGATACTATGTTATATGATGAGCTATAGAGCCATCACATTGTTTGACATAGGCCTACTGTTATTTAGCTATGTTGAGACATATTATTGATGCTTATATTTCATGATATAGCCAATAAATTGGTTATCTTGTTATATACCTTATGATGAAAGATTTATTCTATGTATCCATGTTAGAGCATATATGAATATTGGTATATTAAGCAATATGTATGACTTAAACATTATCCATATAGACCTGTTGTGTAAAGACATTCACTGTGGAATTTGTATTTCACGCTTGAATGATTTTGGTTAACCTAGCACAAATGCTGTCTCTTTATAATTAGCAATAGAATGCAACCTAACCTAGGCCTGAAAACACGATCGGACGAGAATCGTAACAAGATTCATAACCCGATGAATTTACGATGTTCAGGCGGTGTCTAATTACACTGCACCAAGTCTACGCTCTGCGGCGAAGGGCCTAGCACCAACCGCCACACACAATTGAAAGACACATTTTAATATCTCTAGCCGCCGTTCGTTATTAATTATTTCTCAAATTTAATAACGCCACGTAGTAGTTATAATAATATATTTTCATACCTTGTTCGCTAACGATTCGGTTGAGTTTAGACCTAAACAAAATTATTGAACTTTTTAAACTCGCTGTACTATATCAATAAAACAGTATAATACATACTCCAAGTATTGAAATACACGCCATCGTGTTGGGATTCGAATCCCAACACGATGGCGTGTATTTCAATACTTGGAGTATGTATTATACTTTCTTATCTGAGATTAATCAGTGGACCTTTCGGTTTTTATATCAATAAATGAAAGGATTTTCTCCGAACAAAGATGACAACAAAGCTTAAGATCGGATCTCTCAGAAAACGATCACATGGGAGCGTTAGGACCAATCACAATGTCCGGATTCTGCTTTTTCAAAACGTCCTGCAGAGAACGTTGTTTACAAAGGTCGTAATTCACGGTGCCGAATGAGCGTTGTATGCTAATACCCATTTCACACTGATGATATTTTGCAAATATTAACAACTTGTAACAAGTTGTAACCAGGTTTGGATGAGTGTGAAAGCAAAATCCTTGTAAACTTTCCGAGATTTCACAGGGGTCCCCTGAGTTATCTCGGAACAAAAACAGACCATCGCGAGGCCTGTTTTTTCCCCCGAGATGTTCCGAGTTGTTGTTGCGCATGCGTCATGTCCCTATTTTGACCTTTTCGCGGGCTGTGTTTTTTTTTTTTTATAGTTCGAACGAATGGCGGCAGCGATGGAAAACGTAGGCCTATCAACATTATTACCTAAAAGAAATATTGCTAAATTTCACATGTCAACGGATGTAGAAAAATCACGAGGCTTCGTAATCGTAGAATACGCCGACACCGAATTATTATGATGCTTGTCGCACTGATTGCCTCTAACAACAATGGTGAGTACCTACCGGCCGGCGGCCCGACTGCGCCTAGCTAGCGTAGGCCTAGGCCTATCTTTCTCGCCAGGACTACAGCAAACGAGCTAGGAGTGGAATTCGTTTTACTCTCCGAAGGCTAAGGACCATGGAATAATTATCTTGTTAATTCGGTACCAGGCCTAGTTTAGTAGTTGTTATGTAATTCGGACAACCTACAACTAGCCTAGGCCTACTACTATCTAGTACTATCCTAGGCCTCTCTAGGCTTAGTTTAAAATAGCCTTGGAATTTTTATTGTGATAAAACCTCAACAATACAAAATGAGTTACTGCTGTAGTGCATGTTTTGATTGAATGAAATGAGTGTTGTTAACATAATCAAAATATTGCTAGGTAGGCCTAGGCCTAGTTAAACAATTACCTGGCAGGAATAGCATGAATTAAACAACAAAGTAGTAAAAAAATCCATTAAAATATGAAAAAATATAAGTTTGGAGTTACTAAACTTAATGTAATGGATGGACCATAGATGAGATGATTGAATATTTGTAGACATCCCTGATAAAAGCATGGTGATAATATATTTAATAACTTAGGTAGTTAATTAAACTATTTAACGTTTGGTCAAGCTTTAAAACCTATAATTACTTTTCACAAAAAATTGAGTATATATATATATATATATATATATATATATATATATATGCCTATAAATAAAATAAAAAATAAAATAAAAAAAATAAACAAATTACGTTTTTTTTTTGTATTCGTAGTACAAATGTTTACTAAGGTAAATGGTGTGAACATTAATAGGGATATGGTAATTGAAAATATTTATGTACAATGTTATGTACAATGAAAATATATATATATATATTCGAGTGAAAGCAATGACTAAAATCGAATGCTTTATAGAACCGATCTAATTAATTTTATCAGTCTTTTTAATTGTATATAAGCATGAGTACTATGTCAATCTTGTAAGATACTGTGCATGTATATAAATAAGAATTGTATTGAAGAACGTATTATTGATATATTTACATGGAATGACAATAAAGGAAGGAAGCTCCCACGAAAGACAAAAAAAAAAAAAAGAACAAGATCATATATTGTAGGACCTAATTGAAAATGAATTCTTATCTGTTTGTTTCAGCTTTTGAGTCTGTCCCAAGGTCTTGTTGGGCCCTTCCTCGCAACATTGATTGGTGGACTCATGATCTGCAGTTTTGGACAGACGATAGAAGGTTTTATAAGAACTTTCGTATGTCAACAGACACATTCGATTTACTCTGCCATCATTTACAAGGTTCACTCATGAAACAAGACACACACTTGCGTAAGGCTATGGCTATCCCAGTAAACAAAAGAATTGCTATCACTTTAACTCGGCTTGCAAAAAATTCAGATCTCAGCTGCATCAGCAACACATTTGGTGTAGGTGTGTCAACAGTGTGTACCATGTCTCTTATACACATCT